GCTTCCTCCTCTCTCTCTGCCTGCTTCTCTGCCTACTTGTGATCTCTATCTGTCAAATAGATAAATAAAATCTTTTAAAAAAAATATTTTTCTTGGGGCGTCTGGGTGGCTCAGTCATTAAACGTCTGCCTTCAGCTCAGGTCATGATCCCAGGGTACTCAGGTCGAGCCCTGCATCTGGCTCCCTGCCTAGCTGGAGATCTGCTCCTCCCTCTCCCACTCCCCAGGCTTGTGTTCCCTCTCTCACTGTGTGTCTCTCTCTGTCAAATAATTAATAAAATCTAAAAAAAAAATTTATTTATTGGGGCGCCTGAGTGGCTCAGTCGATAAGTGTCTGCCTTGGGCTCAGGTCATAAACCAAGGGTCCTGGGATCGAGCCCCACATGGGGCTCCCTCCTCTGCGGGAAGGCTGCGTCTCTCTCTCCTACTACCCCTGTTTGTGTTCCCTCTCTTGCTGTGTCTCTGTTCAATAAATAAAATCTTTTAAAAAATATTTTATCTATCTATCTATCTATCTATCCGAGGTGGGGGGAGGAGCAGAAGGAGAGGGACAAACAGACTCCCCGTTGAGTGTGGAGCCCAACATGGGGCTCAATCCCACGAACCCCAGAGATCATGACTTGAGCTGAAACCAAGAGTCAAACGCCCAACCGAGTGAGCCACCCAGGCGCCCCCCACCGGCGATTTTAGACAGCACCGTGAATGTGTGTGCTTGTGGGCACCGTGGCTGTGAGTGGGCATGATTTTCTCGACTTACCTATTTGTACTTCTGTGTTCCTTTGTCCACCTCGTTGTGGGTCTGTGCGTGCGTGGTTATACTGTGGGCCCATGGGTTTCTTTATGGCTGTGTCTCCGCGCGCGCGCGCGTGTGTGTGTGTGTGTGTATGTGTGTGTGTTTGCACGGAGGGACTGCCTGGCACAGGGGGAAGAGAGCAGCTTTGGAAGCACCCCTCTTGCCCCTCACCAGTCACTTGCTGTGTTGTGAGACTCTGGACAACAACTTCCCTGGCTCAGCCTGGATGTTCTTTGTGGCGTGGATGCCTTGCCCCTGTTGGGGGTGTGGTGGGAAGATTAGGGACCGAGTACCCCCTGCCTGCCTCCAGGAAGCCCTCAAACCAGCTGCTGGCGCTGTTACTATTCGTTCGACAAACTCTCACCCACTTCCAGGGTGCTGAGGGTGGGGGGTGCAGAGGGGCTCTGAGGGCACCATCTGATGGACGCGTGTTCCCAAGTGGCAAGGAAGGGCAGAGCAGGAGCCTGAGCTCAGAAATCCTCCACTGAGTCATCCGCAGCCCTGGGCCTCTCCCACGCCTGCTTGGTGGCCAGTGCTTCCAGCTGCCTGCCCAGGCCCCCCTCCGGACCTGCCCCTGAGCTAAGACCCTGCTCACCCGGGGCCTGACCTTCTGACTCCCTGGTGTCCTGATCCTGCCCTGGGAAGAGGTTGGCCCCACCTCGTACCCCTCCCCGCCCACACACACACACACACACTAAGGAGCGCAGGTGTTCCCGCACATCCCATCTCCTGCTCACACCTGCGAAGCCTACCTGTCTACCTGTGTCCTTCCACTGCTGCAGGAAGTTGCTGTGTGACCATCCTGACCTGTCCCTCATTGCCAGGTGCCAAAGCCTTCAGACAGAGGCCATTTGTCTCTGCCCACCACCCTCTCCTACACCCCAAATGGGCCCTTGCCAGCCTCTGCTTCTCATCCCTGCTCCAAGGGGCTCTACTCTTGCCATCCCACCCTGCCTTTGCCTGGCCTGGGCCCGTCCTCTGAGATAACCTCACTTCTGTCCTTCAGGCCCCCCTCCAACACCTCCAATCCCTCCTAAACCCTCATCCATCAGGGTCCACTCCAACCTCAAGCCCCAACTGGCCAGGTGCTGTCACTTCCCTGTGCCTGATTCCATGCCTATAAAATGAGGGTAAACAGAGTCCTTTGGGGGGGGTCATCTGAGAATTAAGTGAGGTGGGGCTTCAGAAATGGGACTCTAATAAGTGATGGTCATAGTTGTGACTCAGGGCCACCCCTCCCCTAACCCCCCTCAGCAGAGCCCAGCATGGCTCAGAGCATGTGGAGTGCAAAGGGCAGACAGCTGCTGGGAGGGGCAGCCTAGTGCCCTTCAGGGTTTGGGGTGAAGTGGGACGGGACTGCTAGCAGCAAGCACTTCCTCAGGTGGTGCCCTCTCTGCCTCTTGGCCTGGCTCCGACCCCAGAGCTGACCTCACAGGGGAGGCTGGCCGGAAAGAGCAGCCGGTAACCAGAAGCTGGTACTACAGTCATACCCGCTAACAAGATTACCCAGGTTTGCATGCGTGGATGCTGGTCACCCAGGACCTGCCCTGTCTAGCTCATCCAGCATCCGCCCCCACCCCCCGCCTCCCTCCCACACCTCCGCCAGGTAGACCTCCATCCTGCCAGCCCTCCCTTCATCCAGCCCCCTTGCTTCTTTTGACTTCCATTCCCCAAGACCAGGAATGTAAAGGAGGAAGGATCCACAATACACAGCCCCACGATTTCAGCTCTAAAAGGATCTAAATCCCAACAGTCTAGGCTCAGGAAATCCTTACATTCCTGAAGTTGCAGAGCTTTGGGTCCCAGCCGGACAAAGGAACAAGATTCTGGCCCCACAGGGTCGAAATACTCCAGAATTCCAGCCCTCTGAGGTCCGCAATTCTAGATTCCTCTGCATCTCAGGTTCTAGGATGTAAGGATGCTGTGTCTGAGAAATTCCAGAATCCTCTGGCAACTTCCCTCCCAGTAACCCTACTCCCCAGCTCCACTCCGCCCCCCAGCTCATCCTTGGCTCTCTCTGTCCCCAGTGTCCCCTGGGGCTCCCACAGACATGATGCAAGTTGGCCTGGAGCCAGCTGAGAGGGGTGGGAGGCAGGAGGGAGATGTAATTACAGCTGGTCCTGCCTCAACCCAACAGGAAGCTCAGACTTGGGGCCCAGGGGACCCTAATCCAATGTGAATAATGGAGCACTCACCAGAAACACACACAGCCCAGTGAGCCAGCTCCATCCAGATTCTCAGGGGTCTGGTCCCCATTAGCCCCAGGCTGGGGAACACAGGTGTTATTCCGGAGAAAAGAGTAAGTGGGGATGAGGAGACAGGAGGGGGTCTCTAACCCCGTGGCCCTCCAGCCAACCTGGTAAAATAATTGACCAAACCCACAGCTCACCCAATCTACATCTCATTTCCTTTTAAGATTTTTTTAATGTATTTCTTTGAGGGAGAGAGAGCACAAGCAGGGGGGAGCAGCAGGAGGAGAGAGAAGCAGTCTTCCTGCTGAGCAGGGAGCCTCATGTGGGACTCGATCCCAGGACCCCAGGATCATGACCTGAGCGGAAGGCAGACGCCCAACCGACTGAGCCACCCAGGCACCCCTTCATCTCATTTCAGCAGACATTCAGGACGTGATACATTCCACTCTAAGAAGCCCCTGACTCAGGCTCCATGAAAAATAACACCCAGCACTGAGGCTTCTTAAGCAGGAGATGTTGGGGCATGGTGTTGACTTTGGAGAGCTGAAAAGTCCAGGTCCCACCTCCCAGTCTCTGGTCACCCTGAGGAGGATACGGATCTGAGATCACCCACACTTCCACTTTGGGAGAAGCTAGAAATAAGGACTTTTAAGCAAAGGACTCCTATTTTTCCATTGGGTCACTAAGTCAAGAACATTTTTAAAACATTATGTAGGCCAAAAGTAAAGAACCAAAAATAAATGAATAAATAAAAGATGAAATAAATAGAACTGCAGGCTAGAAATGTCCTGTGGGCCACCCATGTGTGAACTGAGAAACACAGGGCAGGAACCAGAGCTGTCACAGTCCTCCCTGTGTCCTCAGGACAAAGAAATAACTGTTGAAGGAAAGAATAGTACATATTAATTTGTCTCCTCCCCCTCTAGCCATGTTTCTCTCTCCTCCTGGTCCCCAGGTTGTAAGATTTTTTAAAAGTTTATTTATTTATTTATTTATTTATTTGACAGAGAGAGAGAGAGAGCACAAGCAGGGGAAGCAGGGGAGGGAGAAGCAGGTTTCCCACCGAGCAAGGAGCCCAATGTGGGGCTTGATCCCAGGACCCTGGGATCATGACCTGAGCTGAAGACAGACCTTAACCGACTGAGCCACCCAGGCGCCACTCCTGGTCCCCAAGTTTTATTATCACCCTGTCTCAGCTCAGATGTCCACTCCTCCAGGAAGTCCTCCCTGATTCCTAAGCTGAGTCAAGTATACCCTCTGAGCTCCCCCACCCCAGCCCTGCCCGCTCTGGGTCACCATTATCTTGGGGATAGGTCTGTCTCCCTCCCAAGGGTTTCTGAACCCCAAGAGGGCAAGGCCAGGGCTGTCTCAGTCACAACCAGGTTCCTAGCTTCACCCAACGAGACTGGTCGCACAGCAGCTACCACAGAAATGAATGAACAGCAAACAAGAGATCAGTGCTATGGACAGAGGTAAGCCTGCGGCAGGGGCTGGTCATTCAGGGAGGTGAGAAAGGGGTGACGAGCACAGGGACTCCTAAAAATCTACAGCCCAAGAGAGGAGAGAGGCTCAAGGGTTCGGAGATTCAGCGCTGGAGGCCATGGTCCTCACCCCATTACCTCCTAGCTCTGTGACTTGGAATAAGGGAACTCCTTTGGCTCAGTTTCCTCATCTGCAAAATGGGTACTATACAAGCAGCCAGCTGCCTTCTGGGGCTATGGAAATGATTAAATAAATTCAGGATCGTGGAGTGCTCTGTGGAGGTCAGAGCCCAGAGAGCGCATTTCCTCCCGCTCAAGCCTCGCGCCCACACACCACGCCCCACACACCCTGCGAATCCTCGGCCCCCAACACACTCCACACACACTCAGAAGAGATAAGAAGGGACGCAGGTTCCTCCATGACGGTCCCAAGCTCTGGGCGTGCCTCACTTTCCCCCAAAGCACGGGTCCCACCACAGTCACCACGTTTATTGGATCCATAGTTTGGCAGGGGAGGGTAAGCGGTCAGGAAGACTCAGAGCAGAACGCAAAACAGGCGCTTGTCGCGGAAGGGGTTCTCCGCGGCGGGTACCGGCGTCACCAGCGGGTCGTCCTTGGCGTGCGTCTCGCAGAAGGCGAGGAGTTCGGCCGCCGCCTGCGACACCTGGGGGCGCCAGCTTGATGTCCGTTCGTCGGCCGCCCAAGGCCCCGCCTCTTGCTCGGGCACGCCCCCAACCCCCCCTCCCCGGGCCCGGCTCCGCCCCCTTCGTGACCACGCCCCCTGCCCGAGTCCTGTCCCCGGGTCCAGCCCAGTTCCGAAGGGAATCTTCCCACCGGCCCCACCCGGGCGGCGCCCGGTCCAGACCCCAGCCCCGGAGCCCACACCTTCCTCCCCACCTCCACTCCGCACCTTCATGCGGTCGATGTTCACCTCCAGCTTCAGCTGTTCCACCGTCTTGCGGGCCTCCGCGATCTTGGCCATGTTGTTGGACATGGCTGTGGGCGGGGAAGAGTTTAAAAGCCGGTCGGGAGTGGGGGGCCGAGAGGGTTAGACTGGGGCAAGTCTGAGTCCCCAGGTAAGGGTGGCAGTGATAGTGGGACCCGGCGACAGGCTTGTGGGTGGAAGAGCGTATGGAGGGAGGGACAGGAAAACAGAGAAAGAGGAATGAGGAGACGTACAGATGGGAGACCAAGAGGCAGGCCAAAGGAGGGACAGAGGAACAGGGAGGAGAGGGGCATGGGAAGATAGTGGAGGGGTACATAGGATGGGGTACCTAGAGGCAGGTGGAGGGAGGGACAGGAGAACAGGGCCACAGGTGCTGGATCGGGATCCAGGTGTCCTCAGCCCCCTGGCGGATAGAGCAGGAGCCAGGAGGGGGGCCCTCCCCAGGCCAATTAGCAGTGGCTCCGGGGAGAACATGGAATTAAGATCGCGGCGGGAAAGGCGCAGAGGGAGCCTCATTAGGGCCTTGGCAGCAGCTGCCCCCTCCGGCCCCCTTGGGGAGCTCCCCCCAAGCCCTGGCCACCTCAAAGGCTCCTCTGCTCATTAGCAGCCAGAGAGAGGGCTGGGGGAGGGGGGGAGGGCGGGTAACCCAGGCACGACCGGGAGAGGGGCAGAGAGGATGGAGGGACAAATGGAAGGTCGGAGAGAGAGAACTAAGTGATAGAGGGATAGACTGAGGCCCAGAAGAAATAGACTGGGCAGCGGGGGGAGAGACGAATTGATGGAGCCACGAAAGGAGTAGAGGGAGGGGAGGACAGATAGGGCTATAAAGAAAGGGACAGGTTGATCCAGGGGAACAAAGGGACAGAGCGGGGACAGAGAAGGGGAGGTGGAGGGTCTTGGAGGGATGGAGTAAGGGGGTGGGAAAGGAGAGAGAGATGGACAAATAGAGGGGCAGAGTGAGGCACAGCGGGGATAAAGGGACAGAGGAGAGAAGGGACAGGGGAATGGAGAGAGGGAGCCATTGGAGGGGCTGGAGGAGAGACAGACTGGTGGAGACGCAGAAGTAGAAAGTCATTCATTCACTCACTCATTCATTCATTTCCAGGCAGACAGACGGAGGCTGCAATCGGGCAGAGGAATTAGCTGTGCGGTGGAGATCCGAGCCTCCTACCTGTTGCTGCTTCCGGGCTAGGATGGCGGGCAGGTGGCGGTGGCTGGGAGAAAGCGTCTGGGTCCCCCCCACCCCCAGTCCCGCCCCACCCCCTCCCCTGGGGCTTAGCTCCTGAGGGCCCGCCTCCTCCTGCTGCCACTGCCGCCGTCCTCAGCGCCCTGGCTGTCTCAGGTCTGTCTCTGTGGGTCCCCTCTGTCTGTCCCCTTCTTTGTCTTTCTGTTTCTGTGCCTCTGTCGCTCCTGTTCTGGGTGTCTCTTGCTCTCCCCCTTTCTCTCTCCCAATCTCCCCTCTCAGTCTCTGCCTCTGCCTCAGTCTCTGTCCATCTGGAACACACACTCACACACGCACGCGCGCGCACACACACACACACTCTCTCTCTCTCTCTCTCTCTCAGGAAGACAGTCTCCCCCAGTGTGCCCCACACTCTGTCCTTATTCCACATCACAAAAACCTCTCCTGTGAGTCCTGCACAGCCTGTCACTCCATCACATGTGCTTTCCCACCCTGTCACGCCTGCCACCTGTGTCACCCCACCCCAGCCCCTCACACAGAGACGCACACTACCTGTCTCACAACCAACCCACACGCTCCACACACAGGGTTCTACGGCGCTACAGCCACTGAGCCCCTCAAACTGCCACAAAGCGTCCATGCCACCTCGCACAAGCACAGATATCCTATCTTAGACTGTCCCGCGTGCGAACAGAATTTCACCCAGTGTCACGCGCAATCTCTCGAGACGTCCATCACACACATTCGCAGGCAGCTGAAACTTGGGTCTCATACCTGACAGCAACTTCCGCCACACTTTTTATCAGGGTCTCACACGGTGACATGGAATTACTCACATGATATCTTTGGGAGCACTGTCACACAACCACAACATTCTGTGGTGTTACATGGTGACACACAATCACACGTTCAGTGACCCCCCCCCCACATACAGTCACGCTTGCTCTTGCACAATCTGCTGGTGTCACACACAGTCTCACACAGTCCCTCACAGAGTGTCCCCTCCACACACTGTCACGCACACAAGCTCCTGCTAAGCCTTGCGCAGTCCACACCGAACACAGCCGTCCCCAACCTCACCCTGCAGTCTCGTGTGGCGCACACATTTACAGGCACAAGATCTCGCTCATCTTCCCATCTCCAAGGGCCCCACACAGTGACACACGCCCTCATACGCTGTCACAACACTGTGACAGTCTTTCACTATCCCACACGATCTGTGCCACACAGAGTCATACAGTTTCTCACAGTCCGTCAATGTGGCTGACATATACTGTCATACTCACATGGTCCCTCTGTCACCCCCACTCCCCTGGGACCTGTCACACCGCCTTCTCACACCACCTCTGAGTGTGTCCCACTCATCTGATCTCACTCTCTGTCACACATCATCTGCCGTGTGACACACAAAGCACTCGTGTCCTCCCCATGTTGCACACTGTGCCACACAATCTCTCGCTCTCACGTAGTCTCTTAATGTCTCAACCGGTCCCCCGAATAGTGTCTCAGGCACACCCTACCTCAACGGGTCCCACGCAGTCACCCACGCGTCATCTCTCCCATCTCACAGACACCATCGCACACAACCTCTCAGTGTAACACAGTCTGTTTCACAGTCATACCCTTTGGCTGGTAGTCACAAAACCTCCCAAGGTCACACAGCCACACACCAACCTCTGGCGTCATGCACGATCTCACGGTAGTACACACTCACACAGTCTCTTGGCGTCACACGCCATTCCCCGGTGTCACCCAGAGGCACCCACGGTGTCTCTCCAGCCTTGGGCACATGCCTGCGGGCTCCCACACTCAGCCCTCGGGCCTCTCGCGACTGACCCCTAATGGCCACACGGGGGCGCCCGTGGCCCGCCGACGCCGAAGCCTTAGGCGGAGGTGGAAGTTGGGAGGGCAAGCTGCAGACCCCGGAGGAAGACCAGGACACAGAAGGGTGGCGGGGGCTGGAGGCCAGAGGGAGAGAACTGAAGATGGACTGGGACAAGAGAAGTTCAAAGAGAGGGGGTAGAGAGTTGCAGAGAGAGGCTGTGTGGCAGAAAGAGAGGCAGAGACAGAAATTTGGAGAGATGGAGACCTAGGGAGTAGGTGCACCAGAGACAGGCAGAGGAGGGCAGAGACAGAGACGTGCAGTGTATAGGAGAGACACACAGACATGTAGAGAGTCAAGGGGCGCCTGCGTGGCTCAGTTATTAAGCGGCTGCCTTCCACTGGGATCATGATCCCAGAGTCCTGGGATCGAGTCCCACCTCGGGCTCCCTGTTCAGCGGGAAGCCTGCTTTTCCCTCTCCCTCTGCGTGCCGCTCTGCCTGCTTGTGCTCTCTCTCTCTCTGTGTCAAATAAATAAAATCTTTTAAAAAGAAAAGTAATATAGAGAGTCAGAGACAGGGACCGAGAAACGCAGACACCTAGAAACACAGAAGCGAACAGACGAACGAACTCGCACACCGCGCGGCCCACAGGGGCTGGTGGCGGAGGCGGGGCCTGCAGGGCGCGCCCCAGGGGCGTGGCCCGGGCGCTCTGGTGGGCGTGGTTGGGGCGGGGTTCCGAAGAGGCGCGTCCCGGGGCTGACCATTAGGGGCGTGGGCTGGCGGAGGCGTGTCCCGAGCGGCGGGTGTTGGGGGAAAGGGGGGTCTCCACGCAGTCAGCCCATCCAAATTCGGTTTTTACCGACTGCATGGGGAAGCGAGACCGGCTAGAAGGGGACGCCGGCCCAGGTGCCTGGCAGCGATTTGATATGAGGGTATCAGACCCTGACTCCCCCGCCCTCAACCCCGCAGTGGCAACGGGCCCAGGTGGGGGAGGGGAACCGGGCTCACATCTGGAAAGCATCAGGCGCTCCGGACGTGCCAGGGCCCCGGGCCCGGCTGCAGAAGGGGGAGGGGAGCTAGGGCGCCCTCGTCCTCCCCCTTAACGGGGTCTGCCGGCGCCGGGGAGGGGCCTGGGCTTGCGCCGAGCCTCTGCGCCTCCCGCAGCTGGTTTCCATCAGCAGTTTTGGCCCGGGCCGCCCCCAAGGAGGAAACCCAGCTTAGAGTGGGGGAAGACAGGGTGACGACCCAGTCTCCTATCCCCCTCCCTGACGGCAGCCAGACGCTGGGGGGCGGGGGAGACGGACTGACCGACGCTGCTCGAACCGTTTATAACCTCCATTTCTCGCCGGAGCTGCAAACCTCAGCCGTCTTTCCACCCGCATAACTTTAGTTTCCAGGTGTGCAATGCTGTCTTGTGCCGCAAAGGAATGGCCCCAGCCTCGTGACAGCCTAGGCGTCCATGGTATTGTTGTGCCCATTTTTTGGAGGAGGAAACTGAGACCCTGGATTTGGCTTCAGTTCTAGCTTTAATTATTCAAGAAGTGTGCAACGAATGCCAACAGTAACTCTAAGGTCGAATACCCCATCGCCTATTGTCTATTTCCAGCTGGATGTCTGGTGGGTATGACACCGAGCTCCAGATTCCACCTGCCAAACCCTCTTCCTACTGCAGTCCCAACCATCTGATAGTAACTCTTAACTTCCCTCCCTCTCTCACACCACTGATCTCGTGACAAATGCCATTAATGCCGGCTTCCGGCTGTCCCCAGTGCAGTCACTTCTCACCTCCTCTGCTCTCCACACTCTGGTCCAGCCACCATTCCTCACTGGCTTCTCTCATCCTGGTCCCCACAGACCAGCCAGAGGGATCCTGTGGAGACGAAGTCCCCAGATAATAGCAAATGTTAGCGAGGAGGTGGCAAAATTGGAACCGTCACACACTGGTGGTGGGAAGTAAAATGTTGCGGCCACTGTAGCAGTCATTCTGCATTCATTCAGCAGCAGAACAGTCTGACAGTTCTTCAAAAGGTTAAGGTCCCCAT